TAAATGGACTTAACATTTTTTCCTTAATGAAGATATATGGTATTCATGTAATAATGCAACTCAATCTATTAATGGATTTTGTCAATGTTTAAGTGAAGACAAATTAATCATTTATAAACGATTTCCAAGTAACGTAAAATTTTATTTATGTATTAAATTGTGTAATATACTTGTTTGATTTCATTCTCATTTTGTAAGACGCCATGAACACTATGTCAAACAATATAAAATAACTTTTAAGCTCAAAAAATAAACAAATACTCATTTTAAAAGCTATTTGTAAATGCATAATCTTCAAATAATATTATAATATATATTAAATACTACACTGCCATTTTTCTGCATTGCCATTGATTCATATTTATTTAATATTAAACTGTAAGTGTTCTCTATTGGCATAAGTCATGTTTCATTCAATCCAAATTACTTGCATTGACCAAAAGTACAAAAACTTGCTATAAGTTGTTTTTTCTCAGTATACAGCTGAAGGCGTTTTTCATGTAAACCACACATGCAAAAAACCATTACACCACATAAATGACTTCTTTTTATATTGCCTATTAAAAAAGAAAAATAATATAAGAACAATTCATTTTTCACATATATTTTAGAGTTAACATTATTTCTTCTTAATTATTACCAATGTTTTAAATATCTACAACAAGCTTTAAAATTTTCAGCTCATTTCTTTGCAAGTATAAAATACATGTCATAACTTTATATACTATATACAAATATGCATACAAAAATAAATTAAAACTACTTTCTTTAACAAACTATAATTGGAATATGTGTTTTATCCAGATTTTTTGCAAATACAATACATATGTCATAATTTAAGTTAGAAATAAAACAAACAATTTAACTATAGATGTTTTGACTCTTTATCATAAACGCCCGTGGTGACAGCCGTTTAAATATAGAAATAATATATTCAAAGATGTATGTTTTCCCTTACTTGAAAGAAGTAAGATTAACTAAGAGCACTATGCATACTGAAAATCAGTTATGAAATGCAATTACTCCATTAAATGCATATTATGTCAATTAAATTGTCTGATTCTATAACTTTTTTCTTCTTCAATTTAGTAGTTAGAATGATAAAGTAAAAGTACGCTGCTTAATTATTATATAAGGTCTAAATGTTTTTTTCTTTTGTCGAATATATGTGATACTCACTTTATAATAAAACTAAATCTACTATTGGGTTTGTCAATGTTAATATAAAGAAAATATAATCATTTTTAAGTGATTGACGAATAACCTAAATATTTCTTTGCATATGAAATTGTGTAATATCTTAGCTTATTTGGTTTCTGCTTTTCTAACAACCAACAAAAACATTGTACAACATTAAATCACATAAAATTTATACCTAAATGAGTTTTGAGTTACAAAATATACAAAAAAAAAACATTTGGAAAATTATTTATAAATCGATTATTTTTATTTTCATCCATAATTTAAATTAAATGTTAAATTGTCCTTGTTCTGCATTGGCATAAATTCAATAATTAATTAAAATTTGTTTGTCAATCTTTTGCATTGCCATTTAGTTCTGTTTCTATTAATTCAAATTACTTGCATTGTACAAAAGTCCAAAAATTTGCTATACATTGTTTCTGCTCAGGATCGAACTGAGGGCCTTGTGCATGTGAAACACATGTGATAACCACTACACCACAGAAACGACTGTATTGTTTCTACTAAAAAAGGAGCAAATCGTATAAGAGTTATTATTGACTAGCCGATCATGTCATTATTCTGTTAATTAGTTTATTAGTAGATCAATTTATTTATTCTCACTTGGAATTTATTTATTCTCACTTGGAATTTATTTATTCACACTTTCCGAATTTATTTGTTCGCACTTCTCGAATGTTGCTTCCATTTGGGAAACTTTGTTTACTGTGAAATAATATGAAATTTTATAATTCACAACAGCAAAATGGCAGAGGAAAATGTTACTTCATCGACCGTTCAGCGTGCTGCAGAAGCTTTGCGTACTTTGCAGACGCTTAATACTACTGATATTCAATGTCTTGCTTCACTGTCATCATCGTCACCTCAAACTACTACGTCGAGGAATTCTTACAACTCAGTTTCACTGTTACGAGAAGAACTTTCGCAGCGTTTCCCAACTCTGAGGAATGGTATGCCACATCGTTCACGATCAGTTGGCGGTCAAAGTTTGTCAAAAAGACGACGCACACCCACTCGATTCGTATCATTCTTGGTAAAGCGAGGAAGGCCAGCAAATAGATCTATTGCTTACAAAGATGTTGTCATAATTCCAGATCCCCAAACCTCCAGAGTGCCAACTTACAAGAATCGTGTTGAATTGAAAAAAAAGGGCTAGTGGTTTCAGAATTTCCATTTGACAAATTATAGTAAAAGTACGTTAAACAATATGTTTCTTATGAATTTGTTCTATTTTGTTAGTGCAATTTTACAATAAACTGTTTTTTGTGCTTTGTCTGTTAAAATGTTATGAGAATTTACTTTAATCGATATAACTGTAGGCATGCTATGGAGAACTTATCTCACCCAAATTTGCAAGTGGGGTTGAATTGACCGGTGTGTTAGTATTAAAAATGGCAGTGCAGGGCTGTGTTTACGTGCGATTGTTGGAAGAATACAATTCTATTGATGATGAAAGTGATGATGAAATGTTACAAGAAAGCTACATGGGTGATTTTCAAGGTATTGGCTACAGACCAGTGGCGGATCTAGGGTACCTCAAGACCCTCACGCGAGGTACATAAAATTTTCAAGGAATTACGTAATAATTGAGATCATAGGTTTTAGTCCAGTTAACTGAGTTAAGTTACTATTTGCGATCAGCGTTCAGTATGTGATCGCAAAATACTCAAATCTGATTCCAGTTTTTATAGTTTGCTTTTTGAAGCAAAGCGATTTTTTTGAGGTACTTGTCAGCGGCTACTGAGGTACCCAAGCTTGAATGAGCATTTTGATTGGCTAAAACTTGCAGTTACCATGGTTTCTGAAGGACTTGAGGAAATTTTGAAGTACCAAGGAAAATTTTGAGGCATAAGGAGAATATTTTGAGGCACTAGCTGGTTTTTGACCTTGAACTTTGTTTGGAATAATGTCTATGATTGGTTACGATGTTCCATGTTTATTCTAACAGTGCATTTTATTGGTGCATTTTATCAACTCCCTCAAGTACAGCAAGCGTACCTCACTATTTTCGACTTTCGACTTTCGAGATACTAGTTTAGTTAACATTTACCGCACGCAATTTCTTCTGAAAATGGATAGAGATTGTTTTCTAGAAGCCCAAGAGGCAATGAACAGCAACAACAAAGAAGCTCTGTTGCTTCTGTACAACGAGCTACGCGGGCAGTTGAATTCAAAGCCAAGATGTTCATCTTACTTGCTTCGATCAAAACTGGGCAATTCACTGTACCGGCATATTGTCGCTGAGACATATATTCCAAGCAGTATGAAATCGCAGGGAAAGATCTACACTGCATTCAGGTAACGATGTGTTGATATGGCTGTTCAATTTAGCTTTTATTCTACTTCTGTCCGATTACGATGCTTTATCTGAATTTTTAATAAGCTTGTCAATATCTGATGTTTTGTAATTATATTTTGCATTACTTGCCAGTGCAGAAATCCTTCGTTTACCAATCGAAGTTTGTATTTTATTCGAATAATTAAATAAGCAAATAATAACTTATAAATTTAACTGAAATACTGGTATACTATTTATGTAAGGAAAATTAAGAATCTGAATGAATAACTTTATATGGCAATGTTACATGTGCTTAGCTGTTTTTAAATACGTAATATAACATTATTGGATGTTTAATATTTAAAGTTACGCTGTTTAGTACAACACAAAAGAAATTTAAACTAAAGAGGGATTATTTTGAACCTTGTAGATCTCAAGCATCAGGGAATTGTCTTTACAGCTCAGTATCTTTGCTGCTTGTAGGAGACAACAGCTTAGTAAGTATTTTAAGAATACTGACTTCCCTTGAGCTATACCTTCATTGTGATTTTTACAATAAACATCCTGCATTTTCTTTGGCAGTGACTGAGCACCATGACCTTAGTCTTGTTAATCTTTTGCCATTATCAGTATTGGCCTCATGTTTAGATTCCGCTTAAAGAATGAGGATTTAATTAAGCAAGAAGCTATTTTAAATTGTTATGATGGTACCTGGTCACCTTTCTTGTGTATTCTGGGCTTATCATCAGTTATTGGTAATGAAATATTTACTTATTATCCAGATTGTGGGGACATAAGACCCAAATTACTTTTAATAGACATGTAAACCCTCGCTTGGCAAATGAAGCAATTGTGAAGGATGTTGCTGTTCACATATTATTCTGCTATGAAGGCAAGGTTAAGTCTGGCGAGCTTTTGCCAAACCATTATGTTCCTCTTCTTTGCTCAACAAAAATGAAAACATAAAGTGTGTAACAAAAAGCGCAAGCATCCTGACAACTCTTCTCTACAAGAACACCAAGATATTAAGCGATTCTTCCAGCTGTCTTGCATTGATAAACCTTCTAACAGTAATTTTAAAACTGATAAGTCTAGCCTTAGCACCTTATCTATTGACAAATTGACAAGTCTTCTTCTCTTGATGCAACTTGCTACAAAAAACCCCCTTCTGATAAAATAGTGTCATTTAGTGAGGCTTCTTCTCTTGTTGACTGTCATATTCCCCTTAATTTTGATGTTGCAACTTTCAGAGAAAAAAGAAAAGGCATGAGCGATGGGGAAATTTACAATCGCATAGTAAATGTTTATAGACCAGATGAAAATTTTGAATTCCCAAAAACGAATGGAAGATCTTTTCGTTATGATTGGTTAGAAAGGTATGAATGGTTACGTTATTCTCCATCCTTGGATGGGGGTTTTTGTTTGCCATGTGTCCTTTTGGTGATAATTTTAAAGATAAGGCCTCAAAATTTCCAACCTATTCTCTCAGCCACTTCGTCGTTGGACAGATGCATCCAAAATGCTAAAACGTCATGATGGCAAAGAGAGTGATGGCAAAATGAGTTTTCATGGTTTGAATGGTTTGCATGCTTCTACTTTTCCAGTTTATTCTGCCTTCAAATCTAACATGTCTGGTAAAACAAAAGGCATTAATGTTATTATTGATTCTAAGGTTAAGAAAGAAGTTGAAGGTAACCGGGCTAAATTAAGTTCAATTACCGATACGGTCTTAACATGTGGTCGTTTGGGCTTAGCCTTTAGAGGTCATCGTGATGATGGGCACTATCATCCTGAAACTGGTAATTTTTCTGTAGGTGGTGTTGGGAATTTTGTTGAACTTCTTAATTTTAGAGTGCGTGCTGGGGACAAGGTGTTAGAGAACCATCTGAATTCATGTGGTAGGAATCAGACGTACATTTCTAAAACTTCCCAGAACAAGCTTATTAAATGCTGTGGTGAAGAAATAACAGATAAAATCATTTCTGACTTAAAAGCAAGCAGGTTCTACTCTGTAATTGCTGATGAGGCTCGAGACATCTCAAATACTGAACAGATGTCTCTTGTTTTATGCTTTATCGACCAAAATATGGATATTAGGGAGGAGTTTGTTGTATTTCTTCCTTGTAAATGGGGCTTAAAAGGTGAGCAGCTTGCTAAGGTTGTTCTTGATGCTTTAGGCAACCTTGGTCTTTCTATTGCTGATTGTAGAGGACAGGGATATGATGGGGCAGGTGCTGTTGCTGGTCATATTAATGGGATGGCTGCTCATTTGCGTCGTTTGAATGATAAGGCTCTTTTTACCCATTGCTACAGCCACAGATTAAATTTAGCGATTTGTGAGTCTATTAATATAATGGATGTAAAATCGATGCTCAATAGAGTTAAAAAAAGTTTCTGATTTTTTTAATATTTCCCCTACACGACAAATACCTTTAGAAAAGAATATTGACCTTCATGGTTCTTTATCAGCCGGTAGGAAAAAGAAATTAATAGATGTGTGTCGAACTAGGTGGGTTGAGAGAATCGACGGCTTAGATACTTTCCAGCAGCTTCTTATTCCTGTTTTTTAAAACGTTGAGAGAAATGAAGAAAAATGTAGATAAAGATCACAGTCTCAATGTTTCTTCGGATGCCTCTGAACTTCTTGATCTTTTGGAAAAGTTTGATTTTGTTGTTGCCCTGGTTATTTGTAGAAATGTGTTTGATTCTACAATTGGTGTTACTCAGCTTCTTCAAGGGAAGAGTATTGACATTATGGATGGTTTACATCTTATTACATCGTTGAAAACTTTTGTTGTTAATGTTAGGAATTCCATTGATAAGTATCACGATACATGGTCTGAAGAGTCTCTCGCACTGGCTCGAGAATTAGATATTGATGAAGCAAAGCCAAGGACAGTGGGAAGACAGACAACACGAGCTAATGTCCCCTATAAAACTACATCTGAGTACTATAAAAGAATTTTTTCTATTCCACTTGTTGACCACTGTCCTTGGCTTTGCTTCATCTGCCAAACTCTGCGTTGAAAGCTCGTTTCAATACTGATAGCGTTAATGTGTACAATGGGCTTAGCATTGTACCATATAAAATGATTTCTCTTCTTAACAATGGCATGAATTGGAAAGAAAAATTCAAAGTTGTTTCCAATTTTTATCACGATGACCTACCCAATCCATTGGCTTTGGACTCAGAGATTTTGCTTTGGGAAACTTATTGGGTTGATTACGAAGGAACCATTCCAGACTCAATTTCAGCAACTTTAAAAGCTTTAAAATTTGAAGGCTTTGAAAACATCAAAATTATTCTTCGTATTCTTGGAACCCTTACTATCACATCTTGCGAATGCGAACGCTCTTTCTCAGTTTTGCGCGAATTGAAAAATTATAAGCGAAGTACGATGGTTTCAGAGCGTCTAAACGGTTTGGCCATGATGAGAGTTCGTCAAGAAATTGTGCCCAAAACGTCAGAAGTTATCGACAGATTTGCTATGGATAACACAAGATTAAAGTTCGTATAGTCATTATTAACAACAATCAAACATCAAACATGAAAACAAGAAACTTAAAATAATAGCATCATTAAGGCAAAGTTTCGCAAACATTTAACTAAATGGCAGTCAAGTTGACTGTCCATGTCTGGCTGCTTTTTAGAAGCATGCCTAGGCATGCTGATGAGCTCTGATATTGAGCGAAACAGTCAGAATTATTGATTATATTAAGTGCTTCTTTAATCCGACATCCTTGTTTTGCCACTGCTTCTTTTAAGCGCCGCCCCCTGTTACCGCGCTGCGGTACTAAAACGAGCACTCATAGTAATGCTACTTTGAGGGAGGTAAACGATTGGCCTGTATCCGCCACTGCTACAGACTACAGTGTACTTGCTTGTTGCTTTGTTGCTTCTTTGTTTGAAGTTTTATTGTTTGTTTAAGAAAGTAAAATGAGTATAAGAAAGTTTGAACTATGCAATACATTTTTCACGATGCAATGATATTGTACCTGCAAATTAGATATGACGCACAAATTGATGTTAAGTTTTTTCTTGACATAAGTGCGTATTTATTTGATTTAGACAATCAAAACAAACCAAGTACAGAACACCTACCCAATGCTTCAATTTGTGAAGATGAGATAATTGTCCAGGAAAACATTTCTGCTGGCACTGGTAGTAAACTTAAGCATAATGCTTATTTTTTAAACACTGCTCAATTTTTTCACCCTCATATTTAAATTTTATTTAGATGAAGTAATTGATGTTCAAAACCAGTCGGAAACTGTTCCCATACGTGAAATCGTGGTGAAAAGAAGTGACATAGTGAAATCTCTAATATCTGAATTTGAAGATCACAAAATTCACAAATTCGTTTTGGTGTTTGTTTTCATGGGGAATAACGGAGTTCTAGAAGATGGGAAAGGCGCAGGAGTTACACGGGAAGTTTTAAGCCTTTTCTGGCGAAAATTTTCTGTTGCACAGTCTATTGGTGCATCAGAAAAATTTCCGTGCATTCGCCATGATTACCAAATTATTGAGTGGCGATCCGTTTCAAGAATTTTAGTTTATGGCTATAAGGAAGAAAGATATTTTCCTCTTTTTTATCAAAAGTATTTATTGCAAGCTGCATATTTGCAGACGACAAGGTAACAGCTGATTCCTTGCTTGATTCATTCAAAGAGTACATTTCAAAGGATGAAAAAGATATAATGATGAAATGTCTGGAGAATGAACTTAGTCCAAAAGACGATGACGTCTTGGAGCTTCTGAGCAGCTATCATTAGGGAGTTTTAGCAAGAGTACGACTACGAGAACGAGTACGAAATTTGACCGTGTAAGGGAATGGCACGAGGAAGTTTGTTGTCGTTGTCGCTTCGTCAAAATTTTGCTTTAGTTGTAAACAATAGAACGAGCCTATTTATTGTGTAAAACACCGACGTTTGCGAAGCAGCTACGGCTCTATTTGTCAATAATGATATCAAAGAATCGATAATACTGGTTTTGCGAGAGTATAGGACTCTTTAGACTGAAAAATCTTCACTATTTTAAGTTTTATGTACGATATATTTGTACTATTTTATTGTTGTTTACCTTTCACTTTGCGTACGAAATACATGAAAGTTTTGCAGGTCATATTTTTCTTTTTAATGTACATCTGCGCTCAAAAAGGGTTCTAAATTAAAGCCTGGATGCTCGAAAATAGTACTGTAAACTAATTTCTTACAGAATGAAGAAATATACCTACTTTCTTTGCTTAAAAAGACATCGTAGTCGCGACTACGAATTTTTTACAAAACATCGTACTCAGATTGATGACGGCTACGTGTTTTTGTTGTCGCAACAATGTTTTCGCGCCAAATTGACGTGAATCGTACTCGTAGTCGTACTTGTAGGCTCTGCTAAAACTCCCTATTGCTACAGAAATCCAACGAAAGAAAACATTCACGTTATTTTTGAAGAATTGGCCCATCAAGAGCTAATCCAAAATCCCCGCTTCGTTGCTAATTGTTGGAGCAAAGAGTTGAGTGGCTTTAATCAATTCAGTAGTTTTTCAAGCTTCTCCAGCATCTACTCTGAAAAGAGAGCATCATCCAAACGTATTATCAAGCTTATAGAAGCTGATCCAAAAATATGGATTTCATTTAAAGGATCAAACTCTCCAGAATCCTCTAACTCACAGAATGCCTTTGCCAAAAAGCTGAGAACACCAGAATATATATCTCGATGAAGCCTTTCGACCCTGGTGTTATGCACAGAACTACCAGTTATAATGCTCCCTCTTCCCAAGCCTCGATTCTCGAGCATAAAATGAGCAACTTCCATATTCTCCAAACCGTGGTCACTTCGAACTCTAGATGGCAAACCGAAATGACCTAGTTTTTTCTCAGTATACAACTGAAGGCTTTTTCATGTTAAACACACATGGGATAACTGCTACACCACATAAATGACTTCTTGGAGTGTTTTATATTACCTATTAAAAAAGAAATAAATAACATAAAAATATTTCATTTCGCACATATATTTTAGAGTTAACATTATTTTATACTAAGTTTCTTTTTAATTGTAATATTACGTATGTTTAAATATCTACAATAAGCTTTCAAACTTTTTAGTCATTTTATTTGCAAGTACAAAATACACCTCATAACTTATATATACTATATACAAATATGCATACAAAAATAATTTAAAACTACTTTTTTAACAAACTATAAATGGAATATGTTTTTTTCCAGATTTTGTGCAAAGACATAACTTATGTCATAATTTAAGTTATAAATAAATGAACAAATTTTAATATGCTTGACTTAATAACAATGCACTGAAAACAGTTTGCATGTTTATTAGGCCTTTCACTAGACTATTATTTTCTGCAAGGCGTTCTATTTAACAATCACTAGTTGCATTGTATTTGCAAATACAAACAGAATGTAACCAACATGTCTTTAATTATATAATTACATGAATGTTAAAATTGGTTCATGTGTCATGCTTACTGGTTATGATAAATATCTTTTCATATGATCAAAGCTTGTTTAAATGTAAATCTGAAATAATTTAGTTTAGAAATTATAATGATCATCAGAAAAATTACCTAGTGATTATGAAAAATACTTTGCTGTTTTGCCAAATTTCAAGGTTCATCTGCATACATAGGAAGACATTTTTACTTTATAGAAAATGCTTTTCATACATCAATAGCCCTTTGGAATTTATGGCAAACAATCTGGTATGAGCCATAGATTAACACACCTTTACATCTCTACATGAGGTGTTCAGTTAGAAAAGGGGACAATATGTGACATGGGACAACATTTCATGTATGTGAAATACTCAGGTTTAATACCATTCCAGTCAAATTGTCAAAATAAAAAGCTTCATGGATCAGAAGACTCAAAATCACATGTTATAGTAAACAGCTTCTCATGTAATCAAAGAAATCACTAAAGAAATCATACCTAAACGTCCGTCGGCAACAACAATTTTAGAATCATCAATCTGCTTAGCATACCCATATTGACATAAATCGCATCATATATTCGCTTAAATTGACTTTGATATATTACATTCATGCATACAGTTCACTTGTCCTTTACTTACAATTTTGGATGTAAATTTCTGCTGATAAAACTCAAAACAATTTTGCCTTTCTTTTGAACATCAATGACTCAAATGTCGCTGAGATCCTGCCAAGCATTTACAATTTATCCATAAATTTTTCACTCTCTTGAAAAAATTTGCAGTTTCGAGAGCAGCATTCATGTCAATATATGAATTTGTAAAAGATTTCCATAAATTTCATCTAATTGTAGTTTAGTTTCTATCATGTTTACAAATATTACTATGAAACGATCAAACATTCAATTCAGACAGTGAGCTTGTCTTTGTCAGTTCAGTTGGCTATC